TCCAAGTATGATACAGAGCTAAAGACAACTACACAACCTATTATAGCCTACATACTAATAACAGCCTAGATATGTTATGTAGCCTAATTTGCGCACTTCAGGGAGTCGCTCTCAAAACGCGGGTATTAAAATCGCTTTTAAATGCGCGTGCACGTTTTACCTTCGGTTTTCGATTTAACGATCACGCAAACTCTCTGTGAATATTTAATAAACAACAACAGCCATCATAAAAGTTGCTAGGCAATTCAGTCAAAAGTACAAAGGCAGCGCTCTGATATACAGCATTGAAGTTACATAAACATGATGAGATTTTGCCAAAACTATTAGCTCTGGAACAAATAATAGATTAATGAGACATAAGACTGCCCGTTAGATTTACCCAAAACGAATTATATATCATATTTAACCACTATAGAGACACCAGAGCCAGCGGCAAATTCCAGAAGATCTGGCCGAGGTGAGGCGCTCTCTCTGCGGGTTCATGAGCGCTGAACGCCCGCTGACGTCCTGGAGCTCACAAGCAAATTTTCAAATAGACATTATTCTTTATTAACAAACTGCATACAAGTCAAAACAAGAACAAATGCTCTTAAAACTATACTCCGTGACACAAAACAGTATTATATTTAAAATTACAGTGGATTTGGGCGTCCGCCATGGTGAAGGAGTTTTTACATCTTATTCATTTAATTTTACCAAGTTTGTTTGAAGTTTTACCCATAAACTTGGTAATACTTTGGATCTGGTTTTATATCTAGGTGTTCCAATTTTTTATGTGGATATTGTGAATACTTGTTTTGTTAAACTGTGATATGACAGGTTGAAAGACACTATGATTAAATATTAAAAGGCAGTAAAAGCAGCAATGGTAAAATATTTATCGGATCTTATTAACAGTAATCCTAGTAATCCTAAATCGTTATTTAAGATGATACACTCAGTTTTAAATCCTAGCACAACTACAGGCTTCGATATTACTCAGTCAAAATGTGAAAAGTTTTTATTGTTTTTCATAAACAAAATTGAGGTTCTCAGAGCTAGCACTTCATCTCCTGACCTTATTCTTGATTATATTTCCACACCTCCATTAGAACATGATGTGAGCGAGTTTGAACCGATATCATTACCCAGTTTGGTGGATTTAGTCTGCCATATGAACCAGTACATACACAGCACCACCCAACTCCGTACAGAATCAGCCCTTCTCCAAGTGTCTAATGATCTGTTCCTGGCCACCGATTCGGGAAAGTGTGTAATTTTGGTTTTAATTGATCTGAATTTGACACTATAGCACACAATATTCTTTTGGAGAGTTTAAAGGGGTCATCGTATGCACATTTTTCACAAGTTGATATGATTCTTTAGGGTCTTAATGAAAAGTCTATAACATACTTTGGTTAAAATTTCTCAATGGTACTGTAAAAAACACCCTTTTTACCTGGTCAAAAACAGCTCTGTTCACAGCGACCCATTTCAGTGCATGTCTCTTTAAATGCTAATGAGCTCTGCTCACCCTGACCCTGTTCTCATGAGACTGTAAACTTTAGCCGCATTTAGCCACGGAAGTTGCAAACTAGCACATCATTAGGAAAGGCGATTTGCATTTGAAAGATTCATAAAAAAAATCTTACACGCTTACTACTTCTGTAGGGGAAGCTGGATCACGCATGATTCGCACGAACAAACACATTTAGGTAGATTGGGGGGCGCATTCCCTTCAAAAACAAGCGTAATCCTCTGCGTCTTCACCGGCTCAGATGTCAGAAGTAAATGACGACTACTATGTTCATTATTACATCCAACAACAGAACACCTCAGTCGCTTTGGAGACACTCAGTACGTTTACATGAACAGCAATATTCCAATTTTAACATGATCAAGACAATGCTCTGATTAAGAATCTGACCTTAGAACTGTACATGAATTATGAGCTTCTAGAACGTTTGACCTACTAACTGAACTCCTTTTCACAAATTGAACATACAAATAAAAACAGTATAAATAAAAAATATACAACACAGTTTTCTTAGTCTTATTAAGTGCAAACAATTAAGTGCAGCCATAATCAAAGTAGGCTACTCTCAATATTCAAAGTGCAAATAGAGACCAAATTTTTCAAGCATGATGCAGAACTATAGACAGCTACACAACCTATTATAGCCTACATACTAATAACAGCCTAGATATGTTATGTAGCCTAATTTGCGCAC